CTGGTTTGCCAGATGGTGCATCTGAGGATTTGGTAACAAACTACTTTGAAAACGCCAAACGCTCTAAAGGGGGTCCTGTGTCTTCCGTAGTCATGACACCCGAACTCCGGAAGTGTCTGGTCACCTTTGAATCTCCTGATGGTAAGACCGAATGATAATAAACTCACATCATTTCATTTTAATAGTTTGTTCCATAAAAGTGTTCGTAAATGCTTAAATTCAACTTTTTTAGATGCAGAGAGGACGATAAATCATTCATCTCACGTTTTGAGCGGAGAAAAACTGCAAGTCTCGCTGTTTGTAGAGGAGGATGAAAGTGCCGTCGAATTCGATGAAAACAAAGGAGAAGACGAAGACCTGGACAAGGAAGGTGGCATCACCATCGTTGCTAGCGGCATCCTGTCTTCTACCTCAAAAGATACAGTGATTTTGTACTTTGAGAATTCTAGACGATCAGGAGGAGGCGATGTCTTCGATGTCCATTACAACGATAAAGGGGAAGCAGTGATAACTTTCTCTGAGGTGAAAGGTACATAATACTTTCCCTTAAGTCTTTAAGGTGACAGAGTTATTGATAAGTTCAGGTCTTTCTTGATAAAAAGTAGACAAGTTAAAAGCTAATGCATGAGGTATAATTCAGGTAAATATCACGATGGTTTTTGACAGGAGACGAGAGGTTCTTCGTCGTCTCTGACGTTGCAATTACAGCAGTTGCCGAAATACTCAACTTGATTTCTCGAACGATTAAATCGCAAGTTTGCTTTGGTTATCAACCTGTCACTTACTAACATTTTATTATCAGTTGTGATCGAATTCCTTTCGCTTCTGAAATTAGCTAAGTCCCCGACAAGTGGCTTCACAATTAGTCAGTCAGTTTGGTAGCTGCGCCAAGCCTAGTCCACTTGCGTCTAAGCTAGATAGATAGATAGATCCTCCAATTTACTTTTGAAGATTACCGTGTTGATAGCATTCCATTTACTCTGAATTACCTATACTTACCCAGTCTTATTCTGACAGCTTTTTTAAAAACTAGCGTAAAAAAGTAAGGTGGATATACTAGTGGTATAACAGTAAGCTCCAATCCTTTTCACTTTTGTTGAGCTACGTGGATGGGAGAGACTGGTGAACTCCCTCCTAACGAGAATGTTCAAATTCGCATGCTCACAAATCCACAACACAAGTCAAGAAAGCAAGTAGAAAACGTTCCTAACGTAAAAGTCTCACCTAAATCTTTTGATTACATTAAAATTTTAAATCATAATGTTTATTACAGACCTGCAGCGCCTTCTCGAGGGGCCACACAAAATTGACGACCGAATAATAACAGTGGTGCGACAACCTCCTCCGAAAAAAGTGCCTCTTGATCCACTGAGACTTCATGTTCAAGGAATCAGCAAAACGACCACTAAGGATTGTTTGTCCTTTTATTTGGAAAAGTTTGCGGAAGTTGCTGTCGAAGAAGTCTATCTCGGTTTTAAGGATAATGCCCTGGCAGTATTTGAAAGTGAACCGGGTAATTTTAAGACTAAAAGAAATCAATTTATGATTCTTAGAATAGATATCAATTTCATGGCTATCTTGTTTTTTAATTCGATTGATGAGCGTAAAAGAAAAAAAAAAAGAAGTAATAAGAATGATCAATCAGTTGCGTCTCAAAAATTTAGAGTGCAGTGATGGCTTTAGAGTGTTTTTATGGCTTAGTCAATCATTCTTAAAAATTTTTCCTTCATCTTTGTTGTACCTTAAACCACATCTACCTAGGACAACACATTTATTCAGTCCTTGTTCTGGTTGATATATCTTTGATAGAGGTTACAAGTTACAGTAGGAAACACCGATCTTCATGGTTTGTGTATTACTTAAAAAATCGGTGAGCGTTTTATAGCAAAACTGGCCAAAATCTTTACACTGTTAATTACGCGCGTGGTAATGTCACTCTTCTCCACGTATTATCTATTGCAGACTTTGAATCACTCTTGCAGAAAGTTAACAATGATAAAAAAGGCTTAGAGGGAAAGAAACCTCGCATAGAAAGAGTACCAGTCTGTTCATGTATTCTGGTCACGGGATTGAAGAGAGAATCAACCGATCACACCATTGATCTTTATTTTGACAATGAGAAGCGAAGTGGCGGAAGGGATGTCAGCAGAGTGGAAAGGATCAGAAAAGACCAGGCTTTAGTCCACTTCGAGGATCACACAAGTAAGAAATATCTCTTGATGTATTCAAAAACTTATTATTATTTTCATTTTTCTTCTTCTTCTTCTTCTTCTTCTTCTTCTTCTTCTTCTTCTTCTTCTTCTTCTTCTTCTTCTTCTCCTTCTCCTTCTTCTCCTTCTTCTCCTTCTTCTCCTTCTCCCTCTCCTTCTTCTTCTCCTTCTCCTTCTTCCCCTTCGTCTTCTTCTCTTTCTTCTCTTTCTTCTCCTTCTTCTCCTTCTCCTTCTCCTTATCCTTATCCTTATCTTTCTTCTCCTTCCTCTCCTTCTCCTTCCCCTTCTCCTTCTCCTTTTTCTCCTTCTCCTTCTCCTTCTCCTTCTTCTCCTTCTTCTTCTTCTTCTTCTAGTTCTTCTCCTTCTCCTTCTTCTTCTTCTTCTTCTTCTTCTTCTTCTTCTTCTTCTTCTTCTCCTTCTCCTTCTCCCCCTTCGTCTTCTTCTTCTTCTTCTTCCCCTTCTTCCTCTTCTTCCTCTTCTTCTTCTTCTTCTTCTTCTTCTTCCTCTTCTTCTCGTTGAGAAAAGCTGTTTGGCGCTACACTTACACGGCTTTGTTGCAAAAACGTAATTAAAAAAAGAAAAGAGTCGCATTTTTAAATGAATGCTTGTTCTGGTTGGGAAAAAAAACAAACGAAAAGTCTATAATGTAGAATCTTTTTGTTGGTTGTCCCGCGTGTGCCCGTCTATCGCGTCCTATTTAGGTTGAAACAAAACTTTCGAAGAGGTTACCTAATAAAATGCTTATTGACTGAGTTTGATCCGGCCGAGAAAACAATTGGCTCATAATCGTGATGTACGGACCTTCATTGGAAGTTGTGATTTTCATAATCTCCCTCCCATGTTGGTTATTATGTGCAAATACCAATCTTAATCTATGTAAGAGAATTGCCCTTAAACAAAAGGAAGCAGAACAGCACAATCCACATTCGACCAATGTAATTTAATGACTGGACCTAAAAGAAGACCTGGGCCGCTGTTGCCAGGATGACAGAGGAAGAAGAGAGGAGGGGAGCAGGGATGAATGGGATAAATGAAACCCTCAAATTTGTATAGTCCCCACTCTAAACTCTATCAGCAACGTCTGAATCCCCCCTCCCCCTTAGTTGCCCTTGAAAATTATGTTGTTTCCCCTAAAGACTTCAACCCCCCCTCCACTCCCCTGATGATAAATGATCAGTGATCCCTTTGGTTATCTTTTGTTTCTAGGGAAACGAAGGATAACCTAAGAACGCCATCTCCTCGTTCTGTTATTTATACGACATAATAGCGAAGCACAGTGGAAAATTGGCATGGGATTTAGTTTTGTTCAATTCTTCAGTTACAAACAGTACAGTTGTGCTTGTCAGGTATCTTGAAGACATCTGTGAGGCAACAATCTCATGAACAATGATTTGGAAAGTGTTTCGCTTTTTTAGTTACGAGCTAACTAGTGAGGTTTAAAAGCAAGTAAAAGTGTGTTCAGTAGAAGTCTCGAAAAGAATTCATAATTAGTATATTGAATTGGATGCTGTATAATATGGGCTTTAAGTGTTTACTTGACTGTTACGTAGCTGTACGTGTGTTGTTTATTAACGATACCGAAGGAATATTGAAGAGTTTATTTCATTCAGGTGTTCAAGACGTCATTGCGAGGGGCCAGAGAGAGGCACACAAAATTGATGGAGTCGAGTTAGAAGTGATGCCCTATTACCCTTTCCTCGAGAACGCAGCATCCAAGAGAATGGAGGTGACGTTTGATCCAGATATTTATAAATATATTAAGGTTCATCATAAGAGTGAGCTGCAAACGTTACTCGAGAAGTACAGTGTAGAGGCTGAACTCTCAGATGGCTCGATCCTTATCATTTCTCCTGCGGATTCCAAATGCGACACTTCATGGGAAGAAGGGGCAGAGAGTTTTAAGAGTTTCCTGTTCAATTTCAAGAAGTCTGAGATATCCGTTCCTTCCGAAATATTTGATGAGGTCTCAAAACGCTGGCAGCTTCAATGTTCCTCGCAGGGAACAGCCAATTTTCTGCTCTCATTTGATAACCATAGAGGACTAGCCGTAATTCTAGGCAAGAAGACTGTCGTGGAGCAGGAAGAGGAAAAACTGAAGGAATTGATGACAGAAGTAAAGCAAGATTCAGAGCTGATGAAATCTGTGGTTGAGGTCGTGGAAACTAATTATTCTAGCTCCAGACTTACTTTACTCGAGATGTCAGGCCTGTGTAACAAGCTTGCCGATGAATACCGACACTTAAGTATTAATGTTGACAGTGTTGGAGAAAAGCTGTGTTTCAAGGGTCCAAGAAAAAACATTCAAGAAGTCAAACTTGAAGTGGTCACATTTATCTCAAAAATAATTGAACGAACGACTGAACAACCAACCGGTATCATAGATGTTTTGAGGCAACAACACGTTTCAATATTCATACAAGAACTGTTTGAAAAGAAATCTATTCAGGCTGTGATACTTCTTGACCAAGGGAGAAATTCAAACGAAGTCCAAGTGGTCGGCGTTGATGCAAAGAACGCGAAAGAAGCAGAAGCTATTTTACAAGATTCCCTCAAAGAAAAGAGTATCCATCTAAAACCTGAAAATACCCAAGTCATCAACAGTCATGAATGGAAAGACTTCCAGTTGTCGATGACATCGAATTTTAAAGTTGGAATAGCAGTTGACGCCTCTGTAAGCAACGTGTGGATCAGTGGTATCACAGACGATGTTGACAACTGTTCAGATCAAGTACAGAAGTTTCTGGAAAAGAACACCATATTTCATAACGTTGTCCAAGTTGAAGAGGGAACAGCAAGATTTATAGCAACGTTGTGGGAAAAGAAGCTTGAAGCCATCAAAGGAGAACTTTCTAACTGCTACGTTGACATGAGAGTGACATCTGACTACACAGGGATAGAGGTTTCCGGCACCGCCGAAGGAATGGCAAAGTGTGTTCCTCAAATT